AGTTGGTCAGTCTTATATGTACCATTGATGTTGGGTAAGATTTCAAGCATCATTCATGCCTGAACTGTGCGATTCAAATTGTTTTTCCCTGCAGTGTTAGATTGGAAGATCTGGTTCTTTTTCTCACCTTAAAAATTACACCTGTTTCCTCCTGCATTATTGCAACCCATGAAGAAGACTCGTGGAACAGGCAGGTCGCTTGTTTTGATATTACATCCTTCATAAATAGTGATGAACTGGGGATCAATATAGGAAAAAAGGGAACTCTTGCAAGGTAAACTTGCAAAATTGCTTGAAATGTATTCTAAAGATGGACTTTCTTTGGAGACAATCTTCTCAATTTAGTAACTCAGGAAGAACTTCGACTAGTGTAGTAGATAGAGGGTGCTTTTTGAGATATTTTAGGTCTTACTGTTGGTTTAGCTCCCAAATGTACCTAAATTGTAGTTTTCTGTTGTGGTTTATTTGGTTCAGCTGCCGTCATAAATTTATTGCATATTATTTAGCTGACTAAACAGACTTGTAGACAGAGGCTTGAATTCCCGAAATAAAATAAATGGGAGATGAACAAAGGTTGGAAAACCCCAAATAAGTTTATCAAAATCATTGTTGGTTATTTAGAAGGTAAATTCTGATTTAAAAAAATGGCTTTAGAGTCTTATATTTGCCCATGCAGTGCTTCTTTTCAGTCATGGCAGTCTTCGGATCCTGTTATATTGATTGTTTGTTCCCCCGCCTCAATTTGAAAATCTCTAAGACTAGAATATTTTTCCGCCGTCTTCACTAATGTTTTATGTCTTTTGTTTTTAATGACTTAGAGAGCTAAAATGAACAAAATCATTCCACTGATATGTCAGTTTTTCTACTGAAAACCATTTTTCTTCAATTGTTTCAACTTTTAGACTCATATAATTTCACAGATTGGAAAATATTTATTACAGATTACAGGTGGGATTTGTTTGATTCTGCTATTCAATGAATATTTGTATGAAGAGATGATTGGGCTAATGAGACTGAAACATGCATTCTATTTAAATCAGTTGATTTAGCTTTAAAATACATTAAAGTGGTAGGAAAGCATGGTCATTTAGATCTACTGTTCTTTCATAATAAAGTTACATTTTATACAATAAAGAATATTAAGGCTTATTATGAATGTTACCAAAGACGGTGTGTGAGGTTTGCTTGAATGCATTATTGTTAGCCACTCTGTATTTGAAGGCCAAGTGATATTTGTAAGTAACATAAAAACTATTCACATGAAGAAAAGTATTTTTTTTATGTTGGAAGGAACTCGGAGTCATTGGAAGACGTTTGATTAGTATTCATGGCATAAAAGGAAGTTATTTTCAGGGTAAAGGAATTTGTGAAAAGATAATTGGTTAGACCAACATTCTCATTAACCTAATTTGCATTAAATGTGCTACTGTGAATTGTAGTTATTGCTTTTCCATTTGAAACGCATGCTTTGTTAACTTATTTAAAGAGCCTAGTTAAACTGTAGTTTAAGTCGTACCCTTTAATTCAGCAATACAATGTCAAACTGAGGATCTGTTATTACCATCTTTTGTGAGTGTGGAGAATCATAAACCAGTTCTTGATGCCAGTGGATTCTCCTGATGAAGTAGGTTTGTTTAGCTGCTTTACATCTGGTCATTCTCAGATACTGAAAGCATTCAACTAATCCTTTAGTTTAATTTTACTCCTTTAGAAGAGCAGAGGAAACTCTTTAATTCCTCTGTGACACAGCATGAGAAATAACTGAAGGATTCTTGGGGATATCGGAAGAAAATACACCTTTGTTCTAATAGTATGAAGAATTTTAGGATCACTTGTTTTAATTATTTTTCAATAAAACTTCTTTACATATGTAACTAAATTGAGCCTTTAAAATATGAGCTGTTAAAACATAAATTAATCTGCACATTTTCATACCCATTTTAAAATCGTGAGACTGAAGAATGAATTTGGATTTCTTTAATTTTCAGCATTTAGTTATTACTTATTAGCAGTATTCTAGATATTTTGAAACAGGGATTTATTTACTGTTGTGCTGTGTGCAATGAAGAGGAAGGCACCTTTGTCAGCAGTGAGTCAACTGTGAGTGCTCAAGTTAAGTATTTGCATCTGCAGATAGATACATAAAGACAGGATCTTATTTTTCTGTACTGCTGAGCGTACCTAACCATCATGGAACCTGGTGTTTGTGAATTATATGAACTAAACATTTATAAAATTAGGTGGCTTCTTAGATACCAAAATGTTAATTTTGGTGCTTAGTTTTAATTATTTGCACTTGTACTGTTTGACACTGGTTGTTTTCAGAATAGTAGTATCCGGAGGCAAGAATGTAAACCAAAGCCTAGCTGATCAGGCAAGGTTGTATGTCAGCCCAGTTATGCTGAACAATGTTGGATAAACCTAAGGAAAACAGGGGGATGCAAATTCAAACTGGACATGGTAATGGTCATAAATATCTATATAAATACTCAGCTGAGAAGGTCACTTTCTTGCTGGAATGGTTCTGAAGATGACGATGATGGACGTGCCAGGTACACAGTGTGATTAATATATGACTACATTGCATACACGAAATGCAGTTTAGATATTAAAAAAAAAAGCCACGGCCAATAAATTTTACATTCCAGCTGGGAGATGGTTAGGTCTCCCTTTTTTTATTGTTTGGCAAAGAAATATGCCAATTACTATGCCATTTTGCTGCTTATTCATTTTGTTTGCAAAATAGAAGCTGGCTGATGGTTGCAGTATTGAGTAAAATTGCTGAAAGGCTGAACTCCCCTATGTTTTGGGACAGGCAGATAATGGAAAAGAAGCCAATTCTGGGACAGCACATTATATGTTCAGAACTACAGGCCAGTCAGTCTCACCTGTGTGCCTGGGAAGATCATGGAACAGATCCTCCTGGAAGCTATGCTAAGGCACGTGGAGGACAGGGAGGTGATTCGAGACAGCCAGCATGGCTTCACCAAGGGCAAGTCCTGCCTGCCTGACCTAGTGGCCTTCTAGGATGGAGTGACTACATCAGTGGACATGGGAAGGGCTACAGATGTCGTCTGTCTGGACCTCTGTAAGGCCTTTGACACAGTCCCCCACAACATCCTTCTCTCTAAACTGGAGAGGTATGGATTTGATGGGTGGACTGTCCAGTGGGTGAGGAATTGGTTAGATGGTCGCATCCAGAGGGTAGTGGT